TACCCATAATAATCTGCTTTTTTTTTTTAATTTCACATCCCTCCTTCAAAGTCAAAATCCATTTAACTCTCATCTACATACTCATATCTTGTCTTTATTTTATTTCGCATCATGAACTTTAGAGAGGGTAGGTTTTGATTTTTCTTCTCTCTGGAGGACAGAGCCTCAACTGCTGTAAACTTACAGCTCACAACCGGCTTCAGTGAAGCGATGGCAATTTCTATACGGCTGAGAGATGCGCTGCCCTTGTGCTTAGAAAGCACCAGATGGATGGGCAGTAACAGGACTTTGGTAAATAGCGCTTGCTTGTATGATGTTTACAGACATTCACGTTTGGTCTCAGCCTCATATTATCATTTGACAGTTTCCCCTTTTTACGGACACTTAAGTGGAGAAAAATTAACTCGTTTGTCAAAAGTAACACATGGAAGGAAAACCATGGGTAACAAAACGACACGGTCTGTTTTCCCTACTGGTGAAGATTGTCATTGCTGTTACCTTAATTAAAAACTGCATTGTCTCTTCCCTCAAAGGTGGCCAGAAGCACGATGATGGTTTTAGAATATACCCATCACCAAGCAAAAAGCATAGAACAGTGGCAAGACAAGGGCAAAGAAGGAGTAATTTTCAGTTTCCCTGACAGAGCTGCATAAATTGTCAAAATAAAAGTGCACTTTTCCATTGACTTTTTTGTACTGGTGGATTTCCTCCTCTGGTAAATAAGGAGAGAACAGACTTATTTTAAAGACAAAACTCTTTCCAATTATTTATCTATCTATATATGTAATGTGTCTATGACACTAAAAAAACCAAAACTATTTCCTTTAATCCATGCTAAACTGTAATGGCACTACAAGAGTTAATTATTTAGAACAGCAGGCTGTAAAAGGAATGATCCTGCAGGAAATGTGGAGTGCAGTATTTCTTTAGTGATCTCTGCTTCCATGGAAACAGTTTCTCAGCACAATTCTAAATCTCATAAAAATAGGGCACTAGGTCTATGTAAAACAGCAAGACATTTCCAATTAAACAACCAGAATGCTTTTATCTAGGCCATTAAATACTTTGTTCAGTACCAAATATGATTACAATGTTCACTGGGATGTTAACAACCAGCTACTTCCCATGCGCCGGCTCTGTGGGGCCGGATGAAGTTACCCTGCACGCATCCTGATGTCCCTCGCCTCAGCGGGGTTCGCAGCAACAACACAGCATGTTTCCTTCCCCTTGCAGACGCCGAGGTGCACTGCCCTGCCACACCATGCCTTTCGAGGTGCACTGTACACCTCTGTGCTGCTTGCTTTCCACCTCCATGGCGTCTCTTTCCCCTACACAACACCATGTCCTCACAGCTCAGTAATGCCCGGCAGACCAAATTCTCTGCTAGCACAGCAGGAAAGAGTTTATCTGGCTCCTGCTGCTGGCAGAAATAGAGCAAGAACCAACACACTTGAATCAAATTTGGGTAATGAATATAGTTGCTTGAAACCTAGTTTGATGATCACCTTCAGAATTCACTGGAGTTGCCCATGAAAACAAACCCATTACATGACCTACTTTAGTGATGCTCCAGCCAGGATTATCTGTGAAAACAGTGTGGAAAATACCGATCTACCATCCTGGCATCCCTGCCACAAAGTGCCATTGGACAATTTTCTGAAGGAGACTAAAGCAGAGGGTTTGCAAGAACAAATGAAAGAAACAAATCTATACCAAGATACACGGCTACTGCCCATAAAATTTAATCACTAGCCAGAAGTTTACATGCACTAGTAAGAACAGTTTTGTGCTTCGTTCAAAGCCTTTTTTGGATCAGCTGTTGCAAAGCTCCCTCTAGTGGTATTAAACTTCGTTGAATCACTTGGTTATTGTTACTGACTTGGAGTAAATACCAGATCTGATGCTCAAGAGACAAGAAGCTATTACAAATGTGGAACACATCTTTCAAGGTACTGCACACGCAGTTTTTATTAGTAGACTCTGGCATACCATCAGTCAGGAATAGCAAAGCAGCAAGCAAAAGGAAAAAAGTACTTATCAATGGCAACAGTGTTAACTTTTTTTGTTTGGCTGGTTTTGGGTTTGGTTTTTGTTTGTTTGTTTTCCTCAACTGAATTGTTCTTGGAAAGTTACTTATTAAAAAAAAATATATATATACAGGCATTCCCTTCCCCTCCCCTCCCCTGGAACACAAGGCGCATATCCCTGTGAAGAAGCACTGCTGATAACTGGGATAGCAAAACTTGACTCAGCCAACAAATGCCCATAAAGGATAGTTGCCAAAAGTTGCATCTTAGGGGTTTTGGGGTTGGTTTGTTTGTAAACCATTGACTCTTCCAGTTTAAATTGTATCATTCTACTTGCTACTCAACCATTTCCCATCTCCTCAGCAACAACTTGGCAAGGCACAACAGCTGGTCTTACATAAAGAAATAGCGTATTAGTCCACAAAAGGTACACTAAAACAAAGCTAGCATAAAAGGAATTGCTGGGGGGTGAGGGGGACGGACACGGGGGGACAGGACCAAAGCGAAAAAACAAAAGAAGAGCTTCCCAATAAAAATATTTAATGCCTTATATGTGTGTGGTAGCAGAACTGGTAGTATTAGTAAAACAGATTTTTATCTTCTTAGAAGCATGCAACTTCCAAAGTCGTATTAACCACAGTCAAAATAAATTATGAAAAGTAGGTTAGTTATTTTCTTACCATGGCTCCTGCCAACAAAATTATCACTTCGCATCACAAATGTGCAAATTTCCAATTCACATGCAGTATCGTGTGATAATACTGGATTACGATGGTACTAGCAGTTATATTTCCTCCCACACCACCCTGCTAATGAACTCTTAGAACATCTGGAGTCTTTGTGTGCGTATCAAGGGCTCAATACTGCACCATGTCCTCTTCTCAAGAGACAAACTGCTTCAAAACTATGTTTCACTCAAAACTTTTTGTATGTAACATTACTGTTAAATCCAATTAATACAACTGTATTACTTTAACTCATTTTAATCATTAAACAGAGATGCAGCCAGCACATTGTTACCACTACGTGGGTAATACTCACATCCGTCCTTAAATGGTTGGAAATAGACCGTATGTGGACAACGAACATTATCGACTTCATATTGCTGTTACACAAGAGGTTCAAAATCCTCTTCCTACAAATGGGAACTAATTACAGCTTTTAGTACATCCATTTATGCGGTGTGATTTTTCTAGAGTAACCTATGCAAAACTGCAGAAGAATACCTTACGCTGCAGACCACTCCACAACTAAGCAGGGAAGGAATGCTTTCTCACCAAGAGTGCAGTTTAAACTAGAAATACAGAAAGCCATGCAATATTTTTAATTATGAAGTCCCAAAGATGACATTTTAGAATATATGCAGACTGAGTCAACATGCCTTATACAGATGGATACACCAAGTTTGTAAATTATACATAGTAATGGGATCCAAAGCTGCGCACCCGCAGATCTGAACATAGATGAGAGCACGGAACATTCACCAATGTTTTTAAGTCCATAGCTCTTGAATCTGCATTGGGAGAATCGCTGAGTGTCAAGGGCTCACATTTTCATATGATCAGGTTCTGCACCTTCCACTTAGTAACAGAAAAAGACTAACATTTTATGAGGCATGATAAAAAAAGTAATTTTAACTTCCCATAAAGGAGTTCCCTCCTTGGGATGCAACTCTACAATTTTAAAGCTTTTCAAACTCTTTATAGAAATGAAAAGCTGAAGTTAAAAATGTAAACATACAAAATCTTAAATTCCATTTATGTTATGTAGAACTAGATATATACACACATATATTTTTTTAAAATAAGAATCGAGTCCATTGTCACCCCTCTAGATATAAACTCAGAGAAACTTTGCCCAAGATAAATCTGTGTAAATAGTAATAACTGTATACAAGTCAAGTTTCCTCATGATTTAGAAAGCAAAATTTAAAACACATTTTTTCTATAAAGATTCACAGTGATATAGCTCATGAAACACTTCCAAGTTGCAATCAAGAAACTTCTCAATCAAGATCAATCTGCTTATGACTAATTTATCCGAATATATACTTGCATGAAATTGTAACTGAAGAACTGATACAAAACAATTAGTTTTCTTATTGAGCTACACATTATAGAGAAGACTCTGAATATAAAAGTTGGTGTTTTTTTTCTTTAAAAAGACAAATACTTTTCTGCTTGTTGCACTAAGTATGCCATCAATCAAGAGCTCTTGTTTCCACAGGAAACAGTGGCAATTAGAAGTGGACAAATCACAATGATCTGGTAGAACAACATAGTATCTCCCCGTAGAATGGAAGATCAGAAAGACTGCAGCCTGTAATAAGACAGGAGTTACCATTTCCACTGGAAACAAGCACAACTGCTACTGAGAAGTCATGAAAACTTGCCAGCTTTTCCTCCCCAAATACAGAAGCAAGATGGCAAAGAACATGCCAAAAAGCTACTTGACCATAGGGATCAATGGAGAAAAAAAAAAAAAATTTAAAAAAAAATCAGACAATGTATTAAACCACAACTGAATAAAACTTCAGACTGGATACCAGGAAAGTTTGAAATCAGTGAGCTACAAAATTTTCATTTCAGTTGAGTTGTAAGTTTCTCTTTTGTGAATTCATTCAAACTTACAATCTCTAAAGCATTAAGGAACAAATTCATTCCGAGTTAGATGTGTACCTGCAGATAAAAAATATGAGAAAATTCCCAAACTGAAAGACTTGAGAGAGGACAAACTCTCCTTGAAGACTGAAGCACAATATTCTTGCCAGGCTGTCCTTCTTCCCAAATGGCAGACTGTTGGTCAATCAATTAATTCTGTGGTGCTCATTTTTTACAAAACGTTAGCATTAAGTGTTCCTCGTGTAGTCAGGTCACACACATTAGGAGTTTTTCAAAGTATGTTTAAACCGTAACAGTAAGATGACACTGGATTCTGTAACAGTTACTACTAAAATGGATAAGAATTCCGAAAGAGTTGACATCATGGGGAGGAGGGAAAGAAAATGAAGAAATAAAATCAAAATTCCGTAACTTTGTTTTTTTAAAGCCATCACATTGGCAATTCATTTGCACATTCATGCTCATTTTCTTCGGCACTACTCTTTTTCTCACTCTTGTATGTGGAAAGGAATAAGTTTTCTATCTGAGTCAAGAACTCTTCAGCAATGAAGCAGTTTTTTACCTTCCCCAAAGTCTTCCTCATGCACTCCAAAAGCTAGTCAAAAGAAAAGGAGATTTTTTTTTGAAATTGCCATTTTTCCCGAGTTTATTTTTTTCCCCTTCTAGCTGATAAGTATTCCAAAGGGATTTGTATTTATTTATTTAGGATTAACACTATAGGAAGTGTTCAACTGTACAATATAAATTTTAGAAAGGAACAGTCACACAGGAACACGGGTGATTTCTATAAAACCAATTACACAACAGCTAAATTCAAGAATATTCTACCAACTCCATTTTAGATTTAAGCTGTTTATAAGCAAAGTCATGTTGAGAGGAAAAAAAAAGTGAGATGTGGGTAGTCATTGTGTACATGTTTTCTGTTTATGTCTTTCGCTTTCAGCAGATTTTCTGTCTTGTTTGTGCAATTAATGTTACAGCTGTAGTTATTTAGAACCTCATAGCAATAACTACACTGACTGGAAAATTAAAGTTCC